TTTAAAGGGCTCCCCCCTCCCCAGCCAGCCCACCCAGCCCATTCCTCCCCTGCCACTACTGTGTCCAACAGGCCAAGTTGCTGGGAGGAGAAAGTTTGGGCTGCAGAGCAGAGTTTGAACTGCCGAGTGACGTGCTGTGAGCTTCATGGCCGGTGAGGGTCCTGCTCTATTGCGGACACAGCGCCGGGGCTTCGGCGGGGCTTTCACGCTTGCCTCACTGGCCATGAAGCTCACCGCACGTCACTGCATGTGGGAGACATCTTCAAAATCATCATCAGGTTGGTATGCCGGACAGTTGGCCTTGGCAGGAACTCCTCTCCCTGCCACATGCGCAGTAGATGGCGAGAACAACTCCCTTTTCACAGTCCTCCTGTACAGAATAATTCCCACACCCAAATACCATGCCCCCCACTCCCCATTTCAATGGCAGCCGAAAAGCAAGCAGCAAAACAGAGGCTGACAAGGAAACTGTTGAACTTAGGTTACTATGAAAATGCATCTACATATAGCTTCATTAATCATTTATTCAGAGTAATAGAACAAAGAACATGGAATTGTGGCAAATATTAGACCTGCCTCTGGCTATAGACAGATGCAACATTGCCAAGGCAGATATTCTGCTGTTGTCTCTTTATGTATTGTTTTTCCTTTTGCAATGTATTTGTACTTACATTTTCAAATTGATGAGAGTAATCGATACATAATGTGGTAAATTCTAACAATTGTATTTGTCCATTTATTTGCATGTTTCTGATAAAACAAAGAATAGAAACTAATAAAACCTTATTTGCTTTGCAGTATTTTTAATACCTGAAAAATACATACTACTAATAGATTTCACAAAATCCTCACACTGCATCTAATTTATGGCTGTACAGATGTATAGTTTCCAATTCCAAAACACAATAAAAGTATTCCAGTTGATTTAGTATTAACATTTCTTCCTCCCTTAACACTTAACCAAATGTGTTATTTTAATGTCCTATATCAGTTTTCAACTATACTCTCATTAGAACTCTCAATTTGAACATATACTCCCAGTATTATTCCTCATAGGAATCATGAAAGTTGATGTCCAAAGCATATTAAAGGTCGCAAATTCAGCAAAAGTAAAAAATACACAACACTCCAAATTTTTAAGATCGTGATGTACAGTACACTTTTGTGTATTAGTTATTGCTAAGAGACATGCTGGATCCTGCAAAGAAATACCTTATACTTGGTTAGAACAGTTTCAGAATAACAAGGAGAAAGGTTATTTTCTTATTGTGCCTGTATTGTCACTTAAGTAGACCCCAGTCCTGCTTCTCTACTCCCTTTCTTAATTTTAGAAGAATATTATCTTTTTAATATATATAGCTTGAGGGTATAATCACTGTTTACTTTGTGTGTTTCAAGAATTTTAATCATCAGTTTTCCTTTAAGGATGAAAAAAGGAATGAATTTCTACATTGTTTCAGGACAGTGACTGATGCCATCTGTTGGTTGTGTAGAGGTCACATCCATCTAGTAGAAAATGGTAAGGGAAGAAAAGTCTGGAAATTCATTGGGTATGAATGTTATTATGGTTTCTGATTCACCTGTGATCTGTATTTTGCTGTTAGCTCCCACTCTCCTTCCCTGAAATAAAATTAAGCATAGCTTGAACTTCTGTTTGAAATAGATTTCCTGTTTTGCCCTAGTTCTTCAAAATAAACACTTCCAGCAATTGCTGACAACTGATGATGATGAAACAACAACCCAGACTCTGTCACTCTTGCAGAATATTTTAAGGACCAATAGGTAATTATATACTAAAGTATACAGAACATTAAAAACAATTAGAGTGAAATTCATCCTAAAATATGAATAGTTCCTCTAGGTTAATTAGCTTTACATCTTCATAATTCTATATTCTTCATTCTAAAACAAGAGATACAGATTATAGCTATAGTTTAAAGATAGCATCCTTCCCCCCCCCTTTTTTTTTTAACTGGTGGACATGTTTGGCATGTTGGACAGGTGGAGGCTTTCACAAAATGAATGCTGAGAGAGGTGCTACCCTATTCATGAAATGAGTATTGCTGGGATGTAGCTGGATATAGAGCACCAGTTGGAAAAAAATGGTGCCTGCCAATACTGTCCTTATTTTTTCTCAGTAGCTCTTGGGATTCAGTGTAGAACATTGCCAACCAAAGCATCAGGCACTCTTCAGCTACCTATTATTTCTGTGTTCACAGGATGCTCATAGAACTCATTTGCAACATGCCACCTTCTCATTTATTACATTTTTTAAATTGTAAAAGGCAGATGGGGTGGGGAGCCTGACATGCATCAAATAAGTGGATATTGGAGTCCCCTGACTTTTGAGTTGGTGGAGCCTCATTCAAAGGATTTAGTGTATTTTTATATTACAATATGGTTGGGGTTCTTCTAATCCTGCCCAATTTCCCATACACCATTTTTATTCCAATATGATTTCCTCTCTCTCTGGTTTTCTCAGTAAAGCATTAGTTCAAATAACTGAAGAAGCCCTATACTTCCTTCTGGATGAACTTATTTACAAGATTTCCTCTACCACCAACCCTGCCAGAGGAAATGCAACTGTTAAACTGTTACTTTTGATCACAGAATCCGATGCCCAACTGGTTATCAGAGTCAATGCTCGCTACAAAGGTTTGTCCAAAAAAGATGGATTTTGAAACATGTTCTAGAATAATAAATGTTGGCATTGAACATTCCTTGGATTAACTGTAATCCAAACAGTTTGTTACGTGTATCGGTTCTCCAACTTTCATGCTAACAATCATGCTATTGATTGTAAAATATATTAAATGGGCATTGTTTTGAAACAGTGAATATTTTGGGTGAAGTCCTGTAAAGGAATCTAGCATTATGTATAGTAAAACAGGTATAATTGATGGGCGTTATATATGTCTTATATTGACATAATCATATACTAGGAAAAGCAGTGGATATATTTATTTATTCATTCATTCAGTAATTCATTTATTATGAATGCATATTCTGCCTTTCACCTGCATTCAATGCAGGAAGTTTTATTACCACGTCCTATACAATGAATCTATTCATTATTTAAGCTTTTCTTTGGCTCTTTCACTACTTTTTGCCACTGGTGTATATTTAGTGTGGAACATTCTAACTTTTACCTTAGTATCTGTGCCACTAGTAATTTATAATTGACATCTGTAGGGTAAATAAACAAGTACTTTTTCTTACCAATTAGCATATTTATCTTAGCACATCTCATTTATTAAGGGCTACATACTCTTCTAAGCAAGCAATGGACTGGCAAAGGATTTGACAAGAATCTCAATCAATTGCTGGATTTGTTGGATGCAGAAAACTCCAGTTCTTATGATCCACAGGTACGACACAGGTATACTGTGCGTTTTGTAGAAATAATTCTGTGTATGGTGGAGGTAGCTCATGTTAGATTTTACCAGTGTATTCATATGTGTTTCATAACTTATAATCTGGTCTCATAATTGGAATGTGGCTATGTGAAGGAGAACTGTTATAGAAGCATTCTGAAATGGTTAGCTTCATTCTTCATAGGGAGTTTGCCATATCCCCAAGCCTGGATCAGATCTCCTGATTAGATTATAAACCAGCCTTGGTTTGAATGTAGACTAGAAAATTGTCAAATCAAATAAAGCTCATAGAGAATGTACATTCTTAACATCTACAACTGTTTAATTACACATGCAATATAAAAATAAATTAGCTAATTTGTTGATTTCAGAGAATGCACCAAGCAGCATGCTTGATCCAGGCATCTTGGCGAGGATATCAGACGCGAAAAAGATTAAAGCAGCTTCCAAAAGCTATAACTATCTTGCAAAGGAAATTTAGGTAAAACTATGGGCTTTTTTAATTGAAAACAATGTTGTCTTGTTAAAATGGCTTGGAAAGTAAAGCTACAATATAAGGATTTTCCAGACTTCCCATCTGGCCAGGGACATCAACATAGGTATGTATTTACTGAATAAAATCTCTATGTGTATGTTTCTTTTTAACTTAAAAATATCCCAATTGAACAAATAAACTTGTATGTAAAGTCACAATAGACATAATTTCTCTGTGTTGCTATTCTAAGAAGAAACTTGCTTCTGTAGAATTAGATAAGAGTGAAGAAATTAGATTAGAATTTCTTCACTCCCTTCTGTATTCATGCATTGTCTGAGGCTTATACATTTTTTTTCTATTTTTTAAATTTATTTACTGGTATTAGATTTATGTGCTGCTCATCTTATCTAGAGGTGACTTTTGTTAATACTACTATGATTAATTCCTTTCTTTGCATTCAATATTTGCAGGTGTACTGGTAAAGATATGGTGCTGAATTATTGTATGACTTTATATCCCAATTGATACTTATTTGTTAATGTTTTTTTTATTGTGGGTGCACTATGTTATAACCATACCCTAATTTATTTCTAAAAATACAAAAAGTTCTTAATTGGTACTTGTTTGAGGAATCCACTAGAGGGCAGATTTCATTCATGGATTTTCAACCCTGCAGATTATTTTCAAAATGAAAATTCCATGCTTCATTGCTAGATTACACTATATAAGGTATAAATTACATTGCCTGATCCCAGCATGCATACATAAATAATTTCTATATATCTATGTGCATTTTAGTCAGTCTTGACTCCAGGGGCTGCCTAAATTAATCCCTGCAGTTTTCTTGGTAATATTTTCAGGAATGATTTGCTCTTCCAATTTTCCTGGGCTGCGATAGAGAGTGACTGGCTCAATCAACCATCTGGGTTTATGCCCTAGGTAGAATTAGAACTCACGGTGTCCTAGTTTCTTGCCTGGTACTTTAATCACTAAGACAAAATGACACACTCATATACGTGTGTGGGGGTGGGTGGGTGGGGGTAGTAAAAGAATGCTCTTGTTTACTCTTTATGTGATTCTTAATTGCCATTGCTGAAAACAGCTGAAGAAGATCTTGGTTTTAGATAGTTTCAACTATCATATTTTTTCAGAGTATAAGACGCACTGAAGTATAAGACGCATCAAGGAGGCAATTTTTTTAAAAAAGTTTTTGCACTCTGCAAACCTCCCAAAAACGGCCCGGTTTTTTTTTTCTCTTCAAAAAAAAGGGCATGAATAGCCCTTAGGAGGCTTGTAGAGTGTTCCTGGTGGGGTAGGGGGACCAAAAATGAGCAAAAAGCGGCCTGTTTTTCGCAAAAACAGGCCTGTTTTTTTGTCAAAAAAGGGCATTAGGAAGCTTATAGTGTGCTGTTGGGGGGGGGGACAAAATTGAGCAAAAAACGGTCCATTTTTTGCTCATTTCTGCTCTCCCCAGCCCCCAGGAGCTCTCTGAAAGCCTCCTATAAGCTATGCACGACCATTTTGGGGAAGGGGAAGGGGTTTGGGGAGGCAAAAAATGCTGTATTCAGTGTATAAGACGCACACAGATTTTCAGCCTCTTTTTGAGGGAAAAAGGTGCGTCTTATACTCCGAAAAATATGGTAAGTACGTAAACTAAAGTTTACTATCACATACTAGCATACATCATTAGTACTATAAAATAATATAGGATCAGAGGAAGACCCGCCCATGTCTTCAAAATGGAAGGGCAAGGAGGGCAGGAGTCTAGGCTATCACTGATGAGTTTATTTTTGATATTCAGAATTTAGAATAGGTACTAAATTGGGGCCTGAAAAAACCCCAAAAGAATGACTAGAGCAGTGATGGCTAACCTTTTCTGGACCGAGTTCCCAAAGTGCACGTTCCTGAACCCTCAAAATGCAATACGCGCAGCCCCTGTGCATGAGCCCCGCCACCATATATGTGTGCCCCACCCCCATGCATTTGCTGCCCCCTGTGCATCCATGCATATTCCCCCACCTGTGCCCCACTCCCTGTGCTTGCGCGGCAGAGACCCAACAACTAGCTGGGTGGTGGGAGGTGTGCTCACGTGCACGGTGAAGATGAACTGAGGCGATGGCTCATGTGCCCATAGAGAGGGTGCTACGTGCCATCTGTGGCACGTGGGCCATAGGTTTGCCATCATGGACCTAGGNCTGTCATTTTCTGCAACAATATACTCTTGTACATGAGTATTGCCTTAGATAATCTATTGCACTTTTAATACCATGTTTCCACCAAAATAAGACCCGGTCTTATTTTCTTTTGGGCTTGAAAATAAGGACTCGGGCTTATTTGGTGGAGGTCTTTTTTTTACATTCAGGAGGCAGTGAGCACGGGGTCCAATGGGAGTGGGAGTGCAGCTACCACTAGCCTTGCCTTCTTCATCTCACTGTTTGCTTGCCCGTGGCTGCAACAGGCCAAGCTCTTGGCATGCCTCAGCCTCATTGGTGCAGCGCAAATACCATTAATTCTGAGCGTGGAGTCAGAGAAGACAGATGATCCGGACGTGCTGCACAGCTGCCTGACTCATGGGAGGCTCACAGGAGGTTTGTTTGGTGGCACTGTCAGCAGGTGGAGGCAGAGGCATGGGGGATAGGGGAGGAAGGCGATCCCAATGCCCCATGTGGGTGCTTGTTGGTGCAGCCGCAGGCAAGCCAAGAGACATTGGAATGGCGTGGGCAGCGCGTTGGGATCACCTCTGCCTCAGCCTGGCTCTGCTGCATACTTTTTGCACAGAGGGAGACAAAGCTTCGTGTGCTTGCAAAGGGGACACTTTGAAACAGACCTAATCACTCCAGGGGGTGGCGAAGTACCTCATCGAGACAGACAGAAAAATGTGAGCTCTGAAGAGCATCACATAAATTCTGTCTGACAAACCAATGTCGGTGATTCTTTTGAATCAGAAATTTTCTGGAGGAAAAGTGAAGAAGGAGCTGCATCTTATTAGACCCAGAGGAATGCAACAGGTACCTCGTAGGTCAGAGATGAGCTCTCTGAATCAGCGTCGGGGGAGGTAGCTTGCTGCTATCAAGCTGAGGGCCTCCGGACTAAGCATTCTGAGCAGGAGCAGTGTATGAATGGAATGTGAAACCTGGTAAGAAGATTTAATGAACCAACTGACATAAATCAGAATTTGGAAAAAGCAAACAACCTTTGAGTAGAAATAATATTGATGGATAGATTGGGAATCTGGCAGAAAGGAAAGAAAGAAGGGGGGAGGGGAATGGTGGTTTAAATCATTAAGCCCAAAAAGAACTGCTTGTTTTAAACAACTTGGAGACAGAAAGGGGGAAACAGAGAAT